CTCATATTCCCCTCAGTATGTTCCCTTCCCGACATTTCTTGTCTAGTTCTTTATTTCTGTTATTTGTATATACACTATTAAATTGTACAGTTTGACTCGTAGGTGCCTTGCCTTAGCCCCGTCACTACTTCATCGAGTTTAGGCTCGACACTTACCAGTACATAGGGTCGGTTGTACTGATACTGCACTCTACACTTTCTGTGCAGATTTTGATATCGGCTTGAGTTGATCGAGATTTTTGCTATTGGTTCGTTGTACGGAGACTCAAGGTAGATCTGTCAGCGTTCACAAACCTTGAAGTCCAAATCTATCTTTTCTGCTCTACTGTTTCTTTCATTCAGATAGTTGTAATTTCTTCATACTATTACTTGTGGTAAATTCTAGAATGCTCGTGAATTGTGACTCCAGATCCGAATGGTAGTAATGAATACAGTTTTATGATATTTCGCACTTATTATATTTCATCTTAGTTAATTATTGTTAATTACTGAATAGAAATAAGGAATTGGTTTAATGATTCTCTAACGTTGGCTTGCCTAGCAAGTGAAATGTTAGGCGCTATCACGGTCCCGTCGGTGGTAAATTTTGAGTCGTGACAGTTGGTATTAGAGCACTAGGTTGCCTAGGTCTTACGATTCATGAGCAAGCTTAGTAGAGTCTAGAGGATTGGTACGGAGACGTCTGTGCTTATCTTCTAGAGGCTATGAAGTTTAGGAACAAGTTTCACTTCTATTCTTCTCTGTCGTGCGATTTGTCTTTCTCAATACTTATTGAACTCTTCTACTCTTATTCTCTCGTAGATGGCGAGAACACATACCGCTTCTTTAGTTGAGCAGCAGCCAGAGCCTCCAGTGACATCTCCTACGTGGGGCAGAGTTCGAGCCATAGGCCATACCAGAGGCCGAGGCAGGGACATGGCTCAACCTAGGGCCCGAGTAGCAGCCCCAGCAGTGGAGCCTCAGATAGAGCTTGACGAGGAGGTTTTACCCCAGACTGTTCCTACCGGACCAACTCAGGTTCCGGAGGGGTTCATTGCCACCCTAGTACTTCAGGATGCTTTGGTCCGTTTGGTGGTCCTTATGGAGAGTGTGGCCCAGACTGGCGCATTTCCCATGGCACCAGCAGTCTCTCAGATTGGAGGAGGAGCCCAGACTCCCACCACTCCTGCTACGGAGCAGATAGATCCCAGTATCAGGCTCTAGCAGCTCAGCCAGTCGGATTAGTTTAGCCGGTTATTGTGGCACAGGTCGGAGATGGGCCAGCTATGTCTTCTGAGGCTTTATGGAGATTGGACAGGTTTACCAAGCTCTTTCCTGTTAACTTTAGTGGTGCTCCTTCAGAGGATCCCCAGGAGTATCTTGGCAGCTGTCATGAGGTTCTACGAAACATGGGTATAGTGGAGACCAATGGGGTCGATTTTGCTGCATTTCAGATGACTGGTTCCGCTAAGTGTAACGACCCGACATGTCTTTTTGAGTATCACAACCTCGTTCCCCCATTTACTGCTTAATTTATGCCTTACAGTTGATTTATGACTTATCGGGTTAGTTAGTTCGGGTCCAGAAGGAATTTGGAGTGAAATGAGACACTTAGTCTCATAATTGAAAACTTAAGTTGGAAAAGATGACTGTATATTCACTTATGTGTAAACGACCTTGAAATTGAATTCTGATGACTCCAATAGCTCCGTATGGTTATTTTGGACATAGGAGCGTGTCCGGAAAATTATTTGGAGGTCCGTAGTAGAATTAGGCTTGAAATGGCGAAAGTTGAATTTTTGGGAAGTTTGACCAAGGGGTTGACTTTTTGATATCGGGGCCGGAATCCAATTCCGGAAATTGGAATAGGTCCGTTATGTCATTTATGACTTGTGTGCAAAATTTGAGGTCAATCGGACTTGATTCGAAAGGTTTANATATATATATATTATGTGATGATCTAACTATAAAATAAAATATCTTCGAGTCTAGTTTCTAACGCTTCAAACCGTTCGTCATTTGGACATTCCCACAAGAAGTTATGACCAAATTACCAAAGTCTGGAAAAATATGATTCTGCGAGCAATTCTACGATCGCAGAACCATTATGCAATCGCAGAAGTAGTTATGCGACCGCAAAATGGTCGCAAACCTGTCCAGTGAAGCCCATTTCTGGGCATCGATTTTGTGGTGTATTTTGTGACCCGCATACCCATTCTGCGGTCCATTATGCGACCGCAGACCTACTTTCGGAGGGTTAATTTATCTATTTTCATAACCCGATCCCATTTTGATAAATAGGCTTTGGGACTCATTTTGGAGCAAAAATCTGACTTTTTTAGAGAGAAGGGAGAGTTTTCTAGAGATAGGAAGAAGCTCAAGTGCTTTGTTCATCAAGATCTTGTTCAAGCTTTGAAATCCAACAAGGAAATATCACAAGATCTTCACCCAAGAGGTAAGGTGCTAACCCCTAGTCTTCAATTTCGAGTTTGGGTAAAAATGGATGATTAAGAGTATGATTCTTGGGTGTAATAGTATTATACATACCAATAAGGTTTGTGGAAAGATCGTTGAGTTCAAATGGGTAAAGATTGAGTTGAAAATGGTAGAAATCTTCAAAGACTTTAACTTAGGATTTGAGGGTCGAGTTGATGTCGGAATTTGGTGAAATTTGTATGGTTGGACTCGTGGTTGGATGTGCGTACAGATTTTATAATTTTTGTTGGGTTCCTAGACGTGGTCCCCACGGGCGATGTTTTAGTTAATTTTGGATTTTTATTGGAAAATTAGTATTTCCGTATGAAATTATTACAATAATTAGTATTGATTGAATCGAATTAATTGTGGCTAGATACGAGGCTTTTGGAGACCAATTCACGTGGCAAGGGCATAGCGGAATAAAGAATTACACAGTTTGAGGTAAGTAACACTTCTAAACTTGGTTCTGAGGGTATGAATCCCCGAATTTGGTATGATATAAATTGTTTGGGGGTGACACTCACGATAGGTGACGAGCGTGTGGACGTGCACCATATAAATTGTGTCTTGAATAAATCCTGTGCAGTTGTAAAGATTAAAGAATCATGTTATTATCTGAACATATGGCACGTGTTAGAGAAATTAAGCTGAGGCTAGTAATAAAGATCATGTTTAGGTTATGTGCCGATATTTTAGGACCCATGGGGTCGTGATGCTGTTGAATTAACTGTTCTAAAATATACATTTCACACTCAGTAATAATTGTCCATTGTAAGGATATTTATGGGATTGAGCTGCGCAACACAGCAGGCCATTTGACTTTATATATGTTATTATTAAATGGATCGGGGCTGCCCGCCTACAGCAGGCCAGAATGGCTTTATACATTATTATTGTTCTGGATCGGGGTGGCCCGTCTGCAGCAGGCCTCATTGGCTTTACTATTTTATGGATCGGGGCTGCCCGCCTGCAGCAGACCTTAAAGGCTTTGTTATTATACGGATCGGGACTGCCCGCCTGCAGTAGGCCATATTGGCTTTGTATTACGCTTGGGCTGAAGGGGCCTCTCCGGAGTTTGTACACACCCTTAGTGAGCGTAGATGATCATCGATATTCAGTATCGACTTCCCAGGGCATGGACTTGCCTTACTTATTTGTATNTATATATATATACAGGTTGGAACACCCCTGGGCTAGATTGGCCATAAACAGTACCAAGTGACCGGATAATTTGTGACCAGTATTTACGTGAGATCTTTCTACTGAGATGTCATATGCCTCATATCATGCAGTATGGATCTATTTCACTTGTACTGAGTTTACTGTTGAACTTGAAAGCATGTCAATATTTCTGTACCATTATTTTTATTGGATTGTACCTGCGGAGCTCATCCTTTCTTTCAGCCCAGAGGTTAGTCTTATTACTTATTGAGTTAGTTGTACTCATACTACACTCTGCACCTCGTGTGCAGATCCAGGTGCTTTCAGACACGGGGATTGTTAGATTTCAGAGTACTATCAGTTGAGGACTATCAAGATAGCTGTTTGGCGTCCGCTGACCTTGCCTCTCTTTCCTTCAGTTATTGTACTGTTCTATACTTTTAGATAGTGGCTTTTTATCTGTCAGACATTATATTCATATTAGATGCTCATTTACTCCGTGACACCGAGTTTTGGGAGTGATATATTTGAAATTTTGAGATTTCTTCCGCTGAATTAATTATTTAGTTTTCAAATTTAAAAGAAATGGTGGTTTATTGAGATTTTTGGCTTGCCTAGTATTGAGATAGGCGCCATCACGACATGTGAAATTTTGGGTCGTGACACTAAGAAATGGTGGAGAGATTACTTGTTGACCAGACCAGCTGGGTCGCCTGCTCTTACTTGGGACAAGTTCTCTCAGCTCTTCATAGAGAAGTTTCTGCCTATCACATTGAGAGAGGAGCGTCGCCATCAGTTTGAGCATCTCCAGTAGGGCAGTATGACTGTTACTCAGTATGAGACCCGTTTTGTGAATTTGGCCCGTCACGCTATTCTTCTGCTTCCCACCGAGAGAGAGAGAGGGTGAGGAGGTTTATTGATGGACTTGCTCAGCCTATCAGATTGCAGATGGCTAAGGAGATTGGGAGTGAGATTTGTTTCCAAGTGGCTACTAATGTCGCCAGACTAGTTGAAATGGTTCTTACTTAGGGAGGTCAGGGGTCTGAGNAGTCCAGCGGTGCCTCATCTAAAGGCAGGAGTACTTTTGGTAGAGGCCATCCTCCCAGGCCGTTTCATTCAGCGCTCCAGGCATCCCACGGTGCCTCAGGTGGTCGTGGCCCTCGGATGCATTATTTCGACCAGCTAGCCTACAGTGCACCACCATCTCCTATTAGTGCACCTCCACTCCAGAGTTATCAGGGTGGTTATTCAGGTCGACAGGGTCAGTTTCAGGGTTAGCAGTCACAGTAGCCGAGGTTATGTTATACCTGTGGTGATTCGAGGCACATTGCTAGATTTTACCCTCGAGCAACGGGCAGCTCACAACATCAGAGTTCTCGTGCCATGGTTCCGGCACCAGCTGCTGCAGCACCTGCTCAGTCAGCCAGAGGTAGGGATCAAGAAGCCAGAGGTAGGGGCCAGACTGTTAGAGGTGAAGGGCAGGCCGTTAGATGTGGAGACCGGCCAGTTAGAGGACGTCCCAAGGACGTAGTTAAGGGTGGTGGGGCCCAGCCCCAGTGTGATGCTTTCCCAGCCAGGCCTGAGGCTGAGTCATCTGACGCTGTTATCACATGTACTGTTTTAGTTTGCAGTAGAGATGCTTCGGTTCTATTTGAGACTCGTGTAGATCTTCTACTTCTTGACATGGTTGATTTTGATGTCATACTGGGTATGGATTGACTGTCACATTATCATGCTATATTATATTGTCACGTCAAGACGGTGACCTTAGCCTTGCAGGGGTTGCCTCGATTAGAGTGGATATGGAATCTTAGACATTCTGCCAGTAGGGTTATCTCTTATATGAAGGCTCGACATATGGTCGAGAAGGGGTGTCTAGCTTATTTGGCTTATGTCCGCAATTCTAGTGCGGAGGTTCCTTCCATAGATTCGGTGCCGGTTGTTCGTGAGTTTCCAGAGGTGTTTCCTGCAGACCTGCCGGGGATTCCACCCGACAGGGATATTGATTTCTGCATCGATTTGGCTCTGGGCACTCAACCTATTTCCATTCCGCCATATCGCATGGCCCTGCCAGAGTTGAAAGAATTGAAGGAGCAGTTTCAAGATTTGCTTGATAAGGGCTTCGTTAGACCCAGTTTCTCACCCTGGGGTGCACCTGTGTTGTTTGTGAAGAAGAAATATGGATCGATGAGGATGTGTATAGATTATCAGCATTTGAACTAAGTCACCATCAAGAACAAATATCCATTACCGAAGATTGATGATTTATTTGATCAGCTTCAGGGTGCCAAGGTGTTTTCAAAGATTGAATTGAGATCTGGCTACCATTAGTTGAGGATTAGGGCATCTAATGTTCCTAAGACAGCTTTTCGGACTTGGTATGGGCATTATGAATTTCTAGTGATGTTATTTGGGCTAACAAATGCCCCAACAACAATCATGGATTTGATGAACCAAGTGTTCAAACCCTACTTGGATTCCTTTGTGGTTGTATTTATTGATGATATCTTGATGTACTCCCACAATCGAGAGGAGCGTGAGCAGCACCTTCAAATTGTTTTTCAGACACTAAAAGACAACCAGTTATATGCTAAGTTCTCAAAATGCGAGTTTTGGTTGAGTTCAGTTGCTTTCTTGGGTCACCTTGTATCAGAAGAGGGTATTCAGGTGGATCCTAAGAAGATTTAGGCAGTACAGAACTGGCCTAGACCCACATCAAATACAGAGATCCGTAGTTTCCTGGGTTTGGCGGGCTATTACCGTCGATTTGTAGAGGGGTTTTCATCCATAGCAGCCCCATTAACCAGATTGACCCAAAAGGGTTCCCTGTTCAGGTGGTCAGACTAGTGTGAAGTGAGCTTTCAGAAGCTCAAGACTGCTTTCACCACGACACCAGTATTGGTGTTACCCACAGGTTCATGATCTTATACAGTATATTGTGATGCATCTCGTATTGGTCTGGGTGCGGTATTGATGTAGGGTGGCAAGGTTATTGCATATGCTTTACTGCAGCTGAAGGTTCACCAGAAGAATTACCCTGTTCATGATCTAGAGCTGGCAGCCATTGTTCACGCGCTGAAGATTTGGAGGCACTATCTTTACAGCGTGCCATGTGAGGTATTCACTGATCATCGGAGCTTGCATTATTTGTTCAAGCAGAAGAAATTCAATTTGAGGCAGTAGAGGTGGTTGGAGCTATTGAAAGACTATGATATCACCATATTGTATCATCCCGGGAAGGCCAATGTGGTGGCCGATGCTTTGAGTAGAAAGTCAGTCAGTATGGGTAGCCTTGCCTATATTCCAATTGGTGAGAGACCGCTTGCATTGTATGTTCATGCCTTGGCCAACCAGTTCGTGAGGTTAGATGTTTCCGAGCCCAGCCGTGTTCTAGCTTGTACAATTGCTCAGTCTTCTTTGTTTGAGTGCATCAGAGATCGGCAGGATGACGATCCTCATTTACTTGTCCTTAGATACACAGTGCGACACGGTGGTGCCAAACAGGTTACTGTTGGAGATGACGGAGTTTTGAGGATGCATGGTCATATTTGTGTGCCTAATGTGGATGGACTTCGTGAGTTGATCCTTAAGGTGTCTCTCAGTTCCCGGTATTCTATTCATCCAGGCACTGCCAGGATGTATCGGGACTTGAGGCAGCATTATTGGTGGAGGCGAATGAAGAAGGACATAGTTGCCTATGTAGCCCAGTTCCTAAATTGCCATCACGTAAAGTGTGAGCATCAGAGACCCGGTAGATTACTTCAGAGGTTAGATATTCCTGAGTGGAAGTGGGAACGTATCACTATGGATTTTGTTATTGGACTCCCACAGACTCAGAGGAAGTTTGATGCAGTTTGGGTTATTGTGGACATGCTGACTAAGTGTGTGCATTTCATTCTTGTGGCAGTTACCTATTCCTCGGAGCGGTTGGCAGAGATTTACATTTGTGAGATCGTCCGTCTTCACGGTGTGCCCGTGTCTATCATTTCTGATCGAGATACGCTATTTACCTCGCACTTTTGGAGGGCAGTACAATGTGAGTTAGGTATGCGAGTTGAGTTGAGCACAACATTCCATCCTCAGACGGACGGACAGTCAGAGCGCACCATTCGAATATTGGAAGATATGCTTCACGCTTGTGTTATAGACTTTGGAGGCTCTTGGGATCAGTTCTTGCCACTTGCGGAGCTTGTTTATAATAATAGCTAACAGTCGAGAATTCATATGGCTCTATTTGAGGCATTATACAGAAGGTGATGTCGTTCGCTAGTTGGCTGGTTTGAACTGGGAGAGGCTCGGTTATTGGGTACCGATTTGGTACAAGATGCCTTGGATAAGGTCAAGATTATTCAGGATCGACTTCGCACAACTCAGTCTAGGCAAAAACGTTATGTCGACCGTAAAGTTCGTGATATTGCATTCATGGTTGGAGAAAGAATATTGCTTCGGGTAACGCCTATGAAGGGTGTTATGATATTTGGAAAGAAGGGAAAGTTGAGCCCTAGGTATATCAGGCCATTTGGGATCCTCGAGAGAGTGAGGGAGGCAGCTTATAGACTTGCGTTGCCTCCAGGGTTATCCTCAGTTCATCCGGTATTCCATGTGTCTATGCTCCAAAAATATCATGGTGACCTGTCCCACATGTTAGATATCAGCTCTGTCCAATTGGACAAGGATGTGACTTACGAGGAAGAGCCGACGGCAATTCTAGCCCGACAAGTTCGCCAGTTGAGATCAAAGAGTTACCCTTCAGTTCGAGTGCAGTGGAGAGGTTAGCCTATTGAGGCAGCTACTTGGGAGTCCGAGTACGATATACGGAGTAGATATCCCCACCTTTTCACCAGCCCAGGTACTTTTCTAAAACCCGTTCGAGGACGAACGATTGTTATAGAGGTGGAGAATGTGAAGACCTAAATAGTCATCTTATGTTTTAGAATTTGAATCTGCGCCCTTAAGCCTTAAAAATCTCACTTTTACCCTCTTCAATTTGCATGCGCAGTCTGGGCAGGTTTCCGGAAAGCTTTTATGTTGAAAATTGATGAAAATAAGAATTTATGCTTTAAAAGTTAATTTTGGTTGACTTCGGTTAACATTTTTGGTAAACGGGTCCGGATTTATGTTTTGACGGTTCTGGTGGGTCCGTATCGAATTATGGGACCTGAGCGTATGCCCAGAATCGAATTCGGAGGTCCCTAGCTCAATTTATGAATTTTTGATGAAAATTAAAAGTTTGAAAATTAATTATTTTTAAGAATTGATTGATGTTTGGCATTGTTAGTGCCGTATCCGTATTTTAGTTTCGGAGTCCGGTACAGGTTCATTATGATATTTAAGACTTGTCTGTGAAATTTGGTGAGAAACGTAGTTGATTTGACGTGATTCGGACGTCCAGTTGAGACGATATGAACTTTAAAGTGTTCTTGAGAATTTCATTTGATTTGGTGCTAAATTTAGAGTTCTAGGTGTTATATTTGCGATTTGATCGCGCGAGCAAGTTCGTATGATATTTTTAGACTTGTTTGCATGTTTGGTTTGGAGCCCCGAGGGCTCGGGTGAGTTTCGATCTTTCGGATAGGCCACTGGATGTTTTAAACTTAGAATATTTTGCTGGTATAACTGAACCTGTTGCAGGCCTCTGATCTCGCAATTGCGAGATCAGGCATCGCAAATGCGAACATAACAGGGTCCGCAATTGCGAGGCTTTCATCGTAATTGAGATCAAAAGCCTAGGCTAGCAGTTCTCGCATTTGCGAGGTTACCTTCGCAATTGCGAAGGGAGTCTGGGAAGGGCAGGTTCGCAAATGCGAACATCTACTCGCATTTGCGAGGTTCAGTGGTCGCAAATGCGACACTTTCCTCGCATTTGCGAAGGAATCAGGATTGTCAAGGGCATCGCAAATGCGATTGTTCCTTCGTATTTGCGAGCTTCGCATTTGCGAAGCTCAGGTCGCAATTGCGACACGTGCAGCTGAGTAAAAGGGACTTAGAAGGGATTTTTCAAAACCTATACCTCAAGAGGCGATTTTCCAAAGACCAAATCTTCCCCAAATCATAGGTAAGTGATTCCTAACTCTTTTCTTTCAATCTTTTACATCTTATAACACGATTTCAACCTAAAATCTAGAGTTTTCATGTTGGAATTAGGGATTTTTGGGTAGAACTTAGGAATTTCTAAATTTGGGGATTTAGACCTCGAATTGAGGTCGGATTCCAAAACCAATTGTATATCCGGTCTCGGGGTGAATGGGTAAAAGGATTTTGGTCCGAACCTCGGGGTTTTGACCAAGTGGGTCCGGGGTCGAATTTTTGTTTTTTTGGATAAAAAATTGGAAAATTTAATCTATGCAATATAATTAATTTCTTAAGCTATATTTGATATTATTGAGTCATTTTTGAATAGATAAGAGTGGTTTGGAGGTGAATTCCAAAGGAAAAGCTGTGATTGAAAATTAAGTGGCCTTCAGAGCAAGGTAAGTGTTGTGTCCAACCCTCACTTGAGGGAATTAGGAACCTTAGATTACTTGCTAAGTGAAATTCATGTGAGTGGTGTATATGTGAGGTGACGAGTACTTATGCGCCGCCAATTTATCTGTTTTTTTATGTTTCTCAGTTTTTCTTATATTGTCTCATTCCTATGCCTAATTGCTATGTGTTATACTAGTGTTGATCAATTTATCGTTCTTATCATGTTTACGGATTTTCTGGTGATAATTGAGTTTTTATTTCAAAGTTGAGATTGATGTTATGGAACCAAATGTTGAAGTAAGGTTTGTACTTGTTATTATATATCCATATTGTTATTTATGCATTGCATTATGGTAAGGGAGAGTGTTAATTCACGAAGGGTGATGCAATGCCATATTGTGAGTGTTAATACACGAAGGGTGATGCCGTGCCATATTGTGAGTGTTAATGCACGAAGGGTGATGCCGTGCCATATTATGAGAGTTAATGCACGAAGGGTGATGTCGTGTCGTTTCTATTAATTTTATGGTGAGATTGAGAGTAAAAGCACGAAGAGTGATGTCGTGCATGTTTCCTTTATTGTTTTCATAATCCACGAGTGGATATGTTTTCACAATTGGGGGTGGAGCAGTGTCTTAGAAATCATTCAAACAAACGTGCATCGCCCGTTCTACAATGAAATCTGAATTCATAGCTTTAGATAAGGCCGGTAAAGAAGTTGAATGGCTCCGGAATTTCTTGGAAGATATTCCATTTTGGCCCAAACCTTTGGCACCATTTTGTATACATTGTGATAGTCAAGCAGCAATAGGCAGGGCAGGGAGCGTTATGTATAACGAAAAATTTCGTCATATACGACGGAGACACAATACCGTTAGACAACTACTCTCTAGTGGTGTTATCACAATTAACTACATAAAGTCAAGAGATAACGTATCGGATCCACTTACAAAAGGCCTATATAGATAGGCAGTTGAAAGATCATCAAAAGGAATGGGGTTAAGGTCTAGGACAAGTCATTATGACGGTAACTCTACCTAGTAGACTGGAGATCCCATGAGCTAGGTTCAAAGAGATCAAACAAAGTTATGAATGACGGTTCAACATTGTCAAATAACTCAACCCATTCTCGTGATGAAGACAATGTTCAGAAATCGAGGTAAAGCATTAAGGCTTTTTGATGAGTCAACAAAGCTNAGAGGTTGGAAGAGAGTCTCTTGGATGTAAACCATACTTGGCTGGTTATAGCACCTCTTCTTCTCCATTACTCAAAGATGGTTCTGTACATAAAAATAGCCTCCATGGTGGAAAGCGTAGCTCAGTCCTGTTATCTGATAGTCACCAAAATACTGTAGTTTCCTCTTACACCTCAGGTTTGGATAATGTGAAATATAAGAGGAGCCGGTCTGTGCACGACAATCATGGTTTGCAAGTCTTGAATGACTCTGTAGATAGGTTGTCTCATCGTTGTTCGTCTTCGCGGAACATAGATGCCCTTGATGATCAGAAGCTTTTGGATAGTAGCCAAGAATATTCTTCTTCTAAATCCACCTCTTTGCAGCAGAAGTCTTCGGCATTTCCTAGTTCTGAAGCTGAACTTTCGCGGGTTGATTTATCACGGGACGCACGGCGATCATCTGATTATAAAACTAAGGTTTCTTCTGACAATTGGGAGCCATCTGTTCCTTTTCGACCATCATTCTTTCTTAGTCAAATCATTGGATGTCCTGAAAGTCTATATGATCCTCTTCGTGATAGTATTGAGCAAAGTAATGTAGGAGATGGGCCCTCAAAGTTCTCTTCCTCTGGAAAAGGAGGGCCTGTATTCACCAAATGTACGCAGGAAAATGATGATCCAGTTTCACCAGGAACCTTGGGTCCAGAACAGAGCTCCAATAAACATCCAATTTCTGGTCATGTCTACCATAGGGATATATTGCCTGACAACTTGTCTGAGAAAGAATTGTCTAATAATGAAGCAGATACAGCAGATACGGCAGTTGCTCATCAGGAACACATAAATACCTCTTCAAAAGCAGATAAACTAAATTTATCTACTGAACTACAACGCACCAGGCTCCGGAAAAAGACAAAATCAGAATTTGAGAGGCTCGAACATGGAAATGAAATTGATATTGACTGGAAAACAGATAGATCTGTCAACAAAGAGTCGAGAGTTTTGAAGCATTTTCATGCTGCTCTTGTGGAATTTGTTAAAGAACTACTAAAGCCAACTTGGAGTGAGGGTCTCATGAGTAAGGATGCTTACAAGATAATAGTCAAGAAGACAGTTGATAAAGTTGTCAACTCTTTGCATCCCCATCAGGTTCCTGGTACGGCTGAATCAATCAGACAGTATCTTTCTGTATCTCAGCCAAAACTTGCTAAGCTCATTGAGGTGAGTCATGCTTCGAAAATATTACTGATGATGTACAGTCTGTGAAGTCTATTCGTCCCTAAATTTGACAAGTAATTTGCTTTTGCAGGCGTACGTGGATAAATATGGAAAATCTTGAAAATATCAAATGAGCTTTGCTCAGAATAAGGGGTACGTGGATATATATGGAAAATCTTGAAATTATTAAATGAGTTCTGCTCAGCATATTGCCAACAATAGCGAATTGGTGAAACACATTTTTGTGAGCCTAATTTGCTACTTCTAGGGGTTTTAGAATGAGGACTTGGAAAACATTAATTTTTTGTATGGATTTTGTCTTTTTAGGTAGGAACCTTTCTGCTACCTTTATGGGCTGAAGAATTTTTCCCTTGTGTTTACTGAGTTATAGTTTCAGCAGAATTTGCAAATATGTGCACTTGTGTCCTTAAGCGAAGTCCGCTATCGTAATAAGTGCTCATTGGGCTTATAGCAATGGCAGTTTCTAAATAGGGTCTTGCTGGTTCAGGTTGTTAGAGGATTTTGTATTAGTTTAGAATGTTAAAATTGTTAAGGTATTGAGCTAGATATTGTCCCACGTTGGACAAATATGATAATGTATGTGTTAGGCACCTCTAATTAGGTGGTGTTATATATTGATCAAATTAATATCCTCTCCTCTTATCTTATTCTCTGATCACATAGGCTTCAATAACTTCTTTCTTCATCCTTCTGTTACACAAGGGTATCATGATCTATTCCATTGGCTTATGGCTTTTACTTTGAGATGGTACAACCTAATAAAATTGACTTAAATATGTTAAACACACTTACGTTTTGCCTGTGGTGCTAATCAATTTTCACATATAGGATGTTATGAGAAGCTCTAAGTGGCTCTCTGATGGTGAATTGGGACAGTGAAATGGTTATTTGAATTTGGTTGTACATATAAATCGGTAATATCATTGCATATAGGGCATAATTTGAAGGGAGAAGACAACATGTTTTCATAATTCCAGATACAATTAATTCTTGCATGTAAAACACACACGCGTCCGTTCATTCCTTTATTTTATAGCCATTTCCCATTCATGTGAGGGATTTTAAGCTTGTGTAGCTTAAAGAGGGTGAATGAGAAATGGAGGGAAAATAAAATATTTGAGTTTCCCTTGGCAAAGGGACATTGTCCCATATCGGAGGAAGAAAAGACTTTTGATGGGTATATATATAATTGCTCTTCTTCTAGCTCTTAAAGAGTTAAGAAAAAGGCAAGTCTCGCTCCGTCGTCGTCATCGCTCGGCTTCGGCTTCGGAATTAATTATTTAATTAATTAATTAAATAATTAACGAAAAATTCATTCCAGAATAACCCATGACCCGCGACCCAGTTCGGTCAGGCCCGTTTTCTTTCCCGGATTATTTTTAAATACATTTTTCCCGCAATATTTCAAACACCCCTTTTCCAACAGCCATGGCTGTTTCTGAAAGGTTGCTAACCTTTTCAGACACAATGCCAGCAACTCTATAAATAGAGTTTGAATCCTAGAATCTTTCCTTACGAAATTTTCTGAGCTTCTTCTTCTTCTGCACAATAAATTCCAGTGTGTTTTACAGCCTTCGAGTGGCTCGCTGTTCACCTGCGTTTTGGTACCAATACTCCGGTGAGTTAAATCGTTCTATCCTGGGAGGATATATTCCAGCACCTCGGGTACTTGAGGGGAATAATTTCCTTAAGGACACACTGTGTATTTAGTGGGCTCGATTTATTCCTATACTATTTTTTTTTTATTTTTTCAGAATCTATTTCGTTAAACAAGTATTACTAACTTTCTGTTTTGTTTTTTCAGAAAGTTTAATTGTTTATTACAGCAATACAGAAATATAACACGAACATGTGTGTACACTATTGAATTCCCTTACCTTGAACATGGTTGATTTGTTAAGGCTCTTAGACCTAAATTTCCATGCACAATGCTTGCTAAGGCACTCGAGGCAGTAGCTGGGAAGTCAAAAAATGTTGAAGTACAATTAACATACAAAAGTAATACAATTATAGTACAAAAGTAAAAACCCTTTATAGCACTGAATAATTGATAAAAACCCACTTACTTAAGCATCAAGCGAAATTAACCCACTTACCATACAAAAATTAAATACAATAACCAGCAATACATACATTTCTTTGCATGTTAATATTATATTTGTATATTTGTCAAAAGTAATTACCTGTTTTCAAATGACCTTTTCACCCTGAATTGGAATTTGTTCATAACTGCATAATGCTTCGTCACACTGACAATCTTATATTTGTCTAGGTAAATCTGACCGACCTTAATACTTTTAGGTAGTATGTCTGCTATTATTAAACACTCACAACCACCATTGTATCACATGAATCCACCTCAAGCAAATTTACTTTCTCAGAAACACTGCCAAATGTATCACCATTGTATGGTAATTGTAGCAAGCTACTTTGTGCATTTTCGAAGGACTCTGCAATGATATTCTTGTCTACCGTATTCCAGTCCAACACGAATTCCTTCAGTGTTATACAAAATGGATACATTACGAACTCCTTGTAGTTCCTTTTCGTCTTTATATACACTCGTAGTCCCATATCTTTATGAATTTTCATGGGAGGGTACTTGTCATTGACTATATATTTGATCTCCATTACTTTAACAAATGTATTTAAAGATAATTTCCGAGTAATGACTGAAATTAACTCATCGTAGCTTGACTTTATGTTGATTACAACTCCGTTGACATTAAAATCGACATATCGGCCAATAATATCCCATCGGCCTGAGTGTTGAAGCATGATTACCATAGTCACCATTTGAATCTCTATCGGGCTTTGAATTAGAGTCGATATCAAACTTCAAAATTGTATCACAGTGAGTGATTTTTCTTCTCCAGACGAAGTTTTTTCGTCAAATGTAGCAGAATACCAATTTAATCTATTCTATTTAGATTTTATGCTGCTCCGTTTATGGTAGGAAAAAGAAGAGATGGAGATTATGGGTGGAGATTGAGGGATTTTGAGGTAGATGAATCCCAGATACTTTGCTATACTTTGCTTGTAACTGAACGCATTTACTACGGTAGTATTAAAAACCTACGGGCTTAGAAAGTTAATATACTAATTTTATAAAAATTGTTAAAGAAATTAGGGTATTTGGGAAAAACTACTAAACCTAGAGAAAATTGGTAATAAAGTCTTTATTATAGTATTACTAGGTAAAAATCCCGCTTATACATGGTTCATTGGCGCTTCATGGATGGCCCTTGTAAATTCACCTCTATCTATTAGGACCACCGCGGAACATGTGCACTAACAATTTGTCAAAATAGCATGCATAACCAGTTTTCAAACTGGTGATTGAAAAATAGCCAGTGTTTGCAAAGTTATTGAAAATAGCCATCATTTAATGTAAAGGTAAAATCTNATATATTTATTTATTTATTTATTTATTTATCTGACAACTCTTTTTAATTTAACCGGCTAGGTAGAAAGCTATTTTAGTTAATGTTAATTTACTACGACATATTAAAAATCATTGATTAATATATAAAGCTTATTATATTATTATTGTATATAACATAAATTCGTACTTTAATTATAAAAAGTAGGCTAAACATATAATAAGCGACCATGGCATCATCACTAAACCATCATAACCCTAACATCTTTAAGTTCCACTTCGTAGTATGCTTAAATGCAATTACTCCATTTTAATCCAAAAGGCTATGGAGGGATTAATAATATAACTAATACAACTAAAGTGGAAGGTGTCACACCTCTTTTTTTCCGAGGGATAGGGGATATGGAGTTTTTTCAATTTAAATGACATTATTCGAAATGAGATTCTTTATTTATTTAGAGTCGCCACTTGAAATAATTTATGGTGTCCCAAGTCACCGATTTATTTTAGAATCCCAAATCAAGGAAAATTGACTTTTATTTATGGTCTGCGAACACAGAAGACCGGGTAAAGAATTCTGTTAACCCGAGAGAAGGTTTGAGGCACTCCCAAGTTCCGTGGTTTTAGCACGGTCGCTCAACTATTAATAATTGGCCTAGTTATCTGATTTAATACATGTTTTAAAACCTATATGTGTATTTTTATTCCTTTTACCACTTTTATTACATTACTGCATTTTAAAATTTTATGGAATTAATATGAGATGGATTACGTTGTCGTACACTCGTTGTTTATACACATCACAAATCGCGTCACGTGAAACACACCCTCAATCTACAATGTGTTTAATTTTATTTATTATTATTTGAAGTTGTGATCGAGTCACGTGAAACGCACACTCGAATTGGGGATTATGTATCGTGACCATGCCACGGAAACCGTACCCACATTCAAGATGATTTATTATTAATCGTGCCTAAATCAAGCTACGATGTTCGAATATTATTCAATTACTAATTTTAAGATTATTGTAAGGTCATGAAGTATGTAATTATTTGTGGAAGAATTGAATTTATTATTTATAGAAAAGTGGGCTAGTTTAGAAAATGATGAGCCAGCTATGTTATTTATTACTTTGGGCCTGATGAGACTAAATCTTTTGGCCCAAAATTGTTTTCTTCTCCAACAGCCCAAAAACCAATTTCATTAGAAATAAATCGTGGCCCAAGAAAATTCTCCAACCCAATATCCCATATTCTGTACATTTCTTAAACAAAACTAATGACACCACAATCTCATGAACAAAATTAGTTAACAAGCCAGATTACAGTGATTCAATAGACCCTTTTGTCCGGTTAAATCAGCTCAAAACAAAACTTTGCAACTCTAAAATTAATATCATGGTCCAATAAACATATGAATAAGGGAACAATGAGATTCAAATAATTAAAATATCAATAGAGTGAACTACTACTTCATGCTACTCAATAATCACACAAATAGACAAGAAGGTAAATGAACAATTATAATCAGTGAAGAAAGGGAGATAACGGACCTTTGATATAAATTAACAGAGTTGAAATTACAAGAGCGCTAAACAATTCGACGAGTGTTGACTGGAGCTTTCACTGGCCACAAAACCTCGAACAAAAAATCGCGACTTGCAACTCCGATCGACCTTACAAAAAATCCTTCCTCCCTTTTTTTTCTTCTCTCCCCCCCCCCCTTTGTTTCTCACATTTCTCTTCTATTTATAGAAAAGATTTCGGAATTTTCAGATTTTATTTTTATTTTTATTTTTTAATTAAAATAATTTCCACTTCCCATTTTTCTTATTTTAAAAAAAAAATAATTCCCCACTTTCCTTTACTTTTATTTTTAAATTTCTCACTTTTTTTACTTTTAATATTAAAAAAAAATCAGATACCCTTAAAACTATATCAGATACTCCAATGCTCGTGGCTTTAGTCATGTCTTGAACATTCCACATCTTTTCAACTGCTGTTGCATTTTGGATTCAATTATTTTTTTCTTTTCTTTTATTCTGAATTGAGACCTTTTTTTTGGTCATCTCGAATCCTGTGCCTCGAGGTAAAACCTACTCAGACATCAAAACAAACAAACGAACAAAATTTTCTGCCCCAGTTTGCACTGAAAATATTTCGTGAGTTATTGTAACAAAATTCTAATCTACTTCTTTATTGAAAGCAATAAAAGGTCAGGAGTGGTGTACCCCAAAAAAGTCCTTTTTTATGGATGG